CGCAGGTCACGCCGGACAAGCTACTGAAGACGCTGTTCAACATCCGCGGCTTCAGCAGGGACTCGCTGAGCTCGTCCTACACCCGAGTCAAGGCCCAGATCAAGGCCGGCGGGGGGCGGCTTAACTTCCCCGAGCGCAGGTCAGCGCTGCCGCCACCGTGTCGGGTCGCACCCGGTCGCATATGTGCGACACCGGAATGTTCGGCTGGCATGTCTGAGTGCTGAGTGCTCTGCTCTCGTGTCAGGGCGCTTTTACCGCCGTGGATTGCCACGCCAGGCCCGTGCGGTGTCTTTTTGTGTGGAGTGCGGGTGGCGCGTGGACGCCGCACGCGGAGGTCACGTTTACGATCCCCACCAGGTTGAACATGTGGACCGTTATGCACTGGGCCCGACATCCCCGCAGGTCGACAGGTGTCGTGCAGCAGTCTTGACCAGCCTTGGGGATTCGGATGTCGTGATGACAGTCCACTGGACAGGTCGCATTGCTGATATCCGTGGCAGCTGCAAACGTCGGAGCTAGACGGGTCGTGTTGCTGATATCCGTGGCAGCTACAAACGTCGGAGCCAGACGGGTCGTTTCGCTGATATCCGTGGCAGCTACAAACGTCGGGGCCAGACGGGTCGTGTTGCTGATAGCCGTGGCAGCTGCAAACGTCGGAGCCAGACGGGTCGTTTTGCTGGTAGCCGTGGCAGCTGCAAACGTCGGAAAACAATCTGTCGATTCCTAGTATTGGTGTCATGCACTGGTTAAAGATCTCGTCTGACACGGTTGCCGTCAATCAGTAGGCATTAACGGTGGCCGCTGGGCTTCGTCAGATCGGTGAAGGCCGTGACGAAGGAGCACTCGCACCCGGGTCTGGGCATGCCCAGCGTGATGTCCCAGGATGAGCTGGCCCGGTCGTCCAGCACCATCGGCGTCAAGGAGGTAAGAGCGGCGCCGGAGACGTGGCCCTCCTTCCGAGGCTCGCTGTTGGCGGGGTGACGCCTGGAAGGGGCGTGTGGTGGTGGTGGCGGTGGTGTTGGTGGTGGTGTTGGTGGTGGTGATGTGGTGGCGGAATCTCTTTGCGTGGTTCTGTATCTAGTCGTCCCCGTGCATCGTTCCATGTATTGCCCGATGCAGTACATCATGACGGTTTCTAGAGCTTCCTTTTATGAAGCTTCCCTCCTATGGGCTTCTTTGGTCTGGCTTGTTCCAACGTGGTGTCGTCTTTCATCTCGATCTCGGTTTTTGTCAGTCCTAGTCGCGCTTTTGCCCTGTTTCGGTCTTGTCTTTCAAATTATCGTGTACTTCTTTTTTCTCATTGTGTCTCATGCCACATTCTGACGTGCATGTTTATTTCCAAGCATTCCGCAAAGTTCCCTCAACTGAAGGACCCAAACTTCGAGCTGATAAATTTCCAGGAAGTGAGTGCCTTGGCATGCCGGCCGCTGCCGCTGTGGGCAATAGTTGTGCTGCACGTGCCACGCCGCTGTGGCTGACTGTATCTAGCCAGACCTGCCCTTCATTGACTGTATCTAGCCAGACCTGCCCTTCAGTGTCGCTGATTTGTAGTACGAAGATCTGCGCTGCTTCCGCGCTGCCGCTCGTTTGCCTGCCCGGGTCTCAAACAGTGTCGATGGCCTGCAATACCTGTCTTTAAGGGAGGGGATGTGTTGCGAGCATAGTTCCGGCATGACCTTCCCGAGCATAATTTGGTGCGGCAATCGTGACCGTTTCGCCGCGATATTGCACTTCGAGCTCCACCGGCTTTTTCGTCGATTTTGCAGCCAAATTTTGTGCAGGGATTTGGCACGTGCCAACCAGCCTCAATGAGCCAGGGTGGCGCCAGGCTGGCCGTTTTGGTGTGTCACCAGCGGCCCCTAGCTGCCATCCGTCACGCAGACGGTGACCGCCGGCCCCGTGGTGCCGCAGTAGCGCTAGCCGCCGTGTTGCGCCCATCCACAGAGGCACGCACCGTCCTCAGCGGGGGCTGGGTAGTGCGTCAGGGCCGGGCTGCTGCTGACGTGTACAGCTGGCGCACGACTAACCGCAATGGCACGGGGCCTGCTGTAGGCGCGTGCTCCAGCTTGACGTGACTGGACGCGGCGCTGCTCAGGGTCGTGCTAATCGCTGGGGCAGGCTGAGCCCGGCCGGTTCGGCGCGCACGTGTGGCTGGTACGCTCAGGTAGCGTCTGCCAGTCACGTGCCACCGCGGAAGGCTGGATGGAAGTGCTGGTGTGTCATCACTGCGCCAGTGACGAGACGGGACGAGGAGACTCTGCGCCAAGCTACGGGATAGTGACGGATTGCGGTATCAAACCACATCGTAAGAAACGTTGGCTGTACTTTCCACACAATGCGGTCTTCACATATGTGGGTGAACTAAAGCAAGGTACATTTCAAAACGTGCTGCGTACCAAATAACTATGAGCTGATTAATGATGTTGAGCTTAACTGTAGCACTCCAGCGACTCACCCTTATGGCAGGGATATTATGAGCATGCACCCTTGGTCGTTGGTCTTACGGATATGTGCATTGCCCTGTTTGGACATTGCGTTCACCGTCGAGTACATGAAGCCCGCCGCTGGCCTGAAGCTCCGCTAGCACGTGCGCGGCTGGTGAGACCTGACCAGGCTGATGCGAGGGCAGCTTCTGAGAGCAGTTGTGACCGATGTCGACTGTCCGCCATGTTGGTGCGCCGGATCGTGACTGTGGCGATGCGTCGTGCCGCTCTCGGTGTGGCCCCCGCTACCGCAGTCATGCATCACCCGCCTGGTGGAGCTGATGTATGTGCTCTAGAGGTCGGGAATGCTTGCCTGTGGATCGCACCTAATGCAGCAGACTACCGCGGCTTGTGGCCCTTGCTTGCCCGGGCCAGACGAAGGTAGTTGTCTACGTTGGCTGTCAGTCGCAGTATTCCTGTGCCCGACATAGCTTACGTGTACCTGCTGAGCTAAAACCTCACATCTGACTGTGACTAGGTGCCTGATTGTGGTGCACAACACGCGGTCGTGGGGCTCCTATGACCACTTAGGCGTCTTTGCATTCCAAGGAAATGGACCCTTCCTCCAGTGTGCAGCAGCTTCCGCTATTGGCACCGAGCACGCCGCAGCGGCCCGTCTGTCGGTGCTTGTGAGGCGGGCTGTCGTGGCGCCGTGTTGCCGGTCGCCCCCCCCCCCCCCTTCCAGCCTGACTGTCGACCGCGCCGCAGCTGCTGCGGCTGTGGGAGAACCTGCCGGCGCGGTTCGCGCTCTACACGCCGCTACTGCTGTACACGTCGGACGAGCACGGCTTCTCGCTCAAGACGTTTCTACCAGAAGGTGGCCACCTTCGAGCCCACTGTGCTGCTGCTGCGCTCGACGGAGGGCGCTGTGTTCGGCGCCTACTGCTCTACCACGTGGAACACGCGCAACCAGATGCAGGAGGACGGCACCCGCTACACGTACTTCGGCACTGGTGAGACAGGCATCTACTTGGACCCTCGACTTTGGCTCTTCCATCAGTCACATGTTCATTAAGTCACCACCCAAAAAGAGAATATGCTCTTCTCAGGTCTCTTCACGCAGGGCCGAGTTGGTCTCGTTCGACGTGAATGTTATCCCACGTTCCGCCCCCCCCCCCCCCCCCCCAGTCCCATGCGTTGACTCATGCGCGCCTCAAACGGCAGGCGAGACGTTCCTGTTCACGCTGCGGCCGCAGCTGAAGGTGTACCCGTGGGTGGGCAAGGTGAAGCAAGAGCAGGACCCGCAGCTGGCCGGCGTCAGCCACAGCCAGCAGTTGTTCATGGCGGCCGACAACACGATGCTGACGATCGGCGGCGGCGGCGGCCAGGCGATCTGGCTCGACGAGAACCTGAGTCGCGGCAAGACAGACGCCTGCGACACGTTCGGCAATCCGCCCCTCACCGCCACCGGCAGCTTCGACGTCGCCTGCATGGAGGCCTTCGGCTTCGCGCCGGCCTGAGGCGTCGCGGGGCGGCGGGGTGAGATCGTCTGTGTCGGCGGAGCGAGATCGTCGGAACCGACGGGGTGAGATCGTCTGTGTCGGCGGAGCGAGATCGTCGGAGCCGACGGGGCGCGATCGTCTGTGTCGGCGGAGCGAGATCGTCGAAGCCGACGGGGCGTGATCGTCTGTGTCGGCGGAGCGAGATCGTCGAAGCCGACAGGGCGCGATCGTCTGTGTCGGCGTCGGCAGCGACTGGCGTGGCGAGTTGACCGCTGGTTGGCGGGCCGGCAGCTGCGCGGCGGGACAGAACCGGCGCTCCGCTTCTCGCCGGGGCGCTCACCCGGCTTGTCCCGGGCAGGGGCCGGCGCAATCAGCTGCTGGGAGAGAGAGAAAGCGCAAACTGGCCCCGGACAGCCACCTGGCTGCAAGGTGATTGCGTTGGGAACGGGGGGAGAACACCAGATTTTGCAGCCTGCAATCACGTGGTGATTTAACACAATCGTGCGATGAGTTGAAGTTGCTGCTAGTTAAGTGGTGGTGAATTTGTTTGACGATTTTTGCACATGCCGTATCGTCAGAAGAAAAAAATCTGCCAATTTAGAACCATCGTCAGATGTAGCTGTCAGAGGTTTTCAATGCACAGTATCGTTTTGAGGCTTGTAGAGCGCGTGCGTGCTTCACAAAAGTCACGTACTAACTGTATCCAAACATTCCAGGCCTCAAAGCATTCGACCTGAGTGTGGACCAAGTGTCGATGAGTGGGCAATAATCGAGTATTACGACTTGCCGCCGTTGAGCAATAAGGGAGTATTGGCCTTTCTTTTGGTCCCTTGTGTCTTGCTGGCTTTGGTCACACTAATAATGTTTGTATATGTGTAACAAGCTGTCGGCGTCTGTTCGCCTCCGTGTCTGGCTGGTGCCATATGTCTGTCCACATCTGGGTCCCGCTGTCGGTGTCTGTCCACGCGTGCCTCGCTGGTGCCATGTGTCTGGCCATGTCTGTGTCCCGCCAGCAGGGTCTGTCCGCACGCGTGTCTCGCTGGTGCCGTGCGTCTGTCCATGTCTGGGTCCCGCCAGCAGCGTCTGTCCTCGTCTGGCTGGCAATGTCGGCACCCCCGTCTGCTCCGTGCTGACAATAGCTGGCCGCATGTCGGGAGCGCGCACGTGCTATGCACTCACCAGGGGGCGGCCCGTGACCGTCTAGGGACAATCACCCATGTCAAGAGACCGCGAGCTGTGATGCAACGAACGGCGCCGGCCGGCCGGCCCGGGGCGGGCGCGCGTGCGCGTGGGGGTGCGAGATTGGTCCGGGCGCCCGCCGAGGCGCCGAGGCTGTGATTCAGGGGCCGCGCGCGGCGGCGGGTGGCGGGCCTTGCGGCGGCGCCCCGGCCCCGGGGCGCCGCCCCGCCTCTTGGCCGCTGGTTCCGATCTCATTGGCCTCACGGGTGGGAGCGAGTGGGACCGACCGGTGACGCGGCGCGCTCTGTCCGGTGTTGTGTGGTCCATGGGCCTCGTGCTGTGGCGTCGTCGGTGTTGTTCTGTGGCCCGTGTCGTCTCCGACAGGGGGTGTGCTGCGCTGTGGCCCGGTGGCCCGCGCTGCTTCCGTGCCGGTCCATGCGAGCTGGTCACCTGGAGGGTGGGTGGGTCATTCACTGCTGCTATCGGCCGCCACACCGGGCAACGTTGATCTGTTGTCTCGTGCCGCTCGTGGTGGGCTTGACTGGTGCCTCACTGCGCGTGTCGAGGCTGGATGCCCGGTGGTTTGTCCGTTGCTTAAGGCTTGCTGCTCCGTGTTTTGTCCGCTGGCTGGATGTTTGGTGTCTTGTAACGTGTCACGTGGTTCGAAAGCCTGACGCTTCGTAGCGTGTTTGCTGCTGTTCCGTGTCTGTCTGTGTAGCAAGACCGGCGAACCCGGGCAGCTTATCTGCTCGCACCGTCGTCACCGAACCTGCAGTGTCGATCGGCTCGTAGTGTATGTGTCGCTGTGCGTGCACCTCGAAACGTACATAGACGTAAGAATCTTGCCTTAGCGTTGGTATTATGTTGCCTGAATTACTAGTGGTGTATTAGCGCTGTGTGTAGCGCTAATGGGCATCCACGGATTGTGTCAAGCAGATATACGCTGTTTTATATCATGGGCAGCGTTGTCGAGCTTACAGACAAGGCAACGCTTGCTGTCGCGGCCAGGCAGGCCTGCCGGGGTGTGCTGGGCCGGATTGATCAAATGCTTGGCTTTCCTCGTACTGACCCGGGGTGATCTGTTTAACTCTGTTTAATGCTCCTCGTTTGACATATTAAGTGCCATCATTTGTGTACTAACGTCACCATCCGCGAATTACTGCCGGTTGCATTACACACTGGATTTCGGTCGTGCGTTTACGTACCTTGGCGTTGTTTTCGTGCTTGTGCCAAACAATGGCTCAATTCCGTTGCGCCTGTATGACTCGTGCATTGTGCTGTTATGTTCAAAGTGCTAGTCCGACGTCGATGGAATAAATACTCAACGACAGCGGACTATCAGTGCACGTCAGCGCCAGCACATTTGAAGCCCACACACACTGTTTGCGTATTGCCGTTTATGATTTGCCGTCCCGGGTGGCGCGTCAGACGGCTAAGCCAAGTGCCACCGGATCATTTGGCGGCGGTTTGCTGTGCCTCAATGGTTTCGGGCGCGCCGAGGACAATCGCCATGCTGCGCCCACATGATTTGGCATCGAAGCAGGAGAGCGGTGGCAATAGTCGTGTGCGAGGTGGCGGACTGGGGGTGTGGTGATTTGGTGTTCGGGGGTACGTCGGCATGGGGGCCGTTTTGCGCCCACTCGACGACGGTGATCTACGCCTGCGACGACGCGATAAGTGCGTTGTCAACTAATAACAGGCGGTATCACTAGCACACACACTGAGGGGTTAGTGAAAATAATGTCAAAGTCAATGTGTGCTAAAAATGCGAGTATGTCTCCAAGTTCACCACATGGGTCTCGACTGAGTAACCGATGGAGGGGCGCTGGAGGAAACAGTCGTCCCCTTTCCGTCTCAAGGCGCCGGCATGAGACGAGGACATGTTCTACAGACAACCGGTCCCCCGCATCTTTCACACCGTGGCACATCCTTACGCGTTAAGTAAAACGAGTGTGTTGCGTGTGTATGACCCAACCGAAGCCCATGCAGGGTGACTTCCTGGAAGCGGCTTCGGCGATGGGAAGATTCCCAGTTACCCAGTTGGGGCTTAATTTCCCTGAAAGCGTGACGATGTTGGTCGAACTTGTTCTGCGACGCATTGCGGACGTATTTGGAAATGACCAACTTCAGATCTCGAGCGGGTACAAAAATTGGTATCGGTCTTCTCTCACACGCCGCAGCTTTCGCCGCGGCGTCGGCTTTCTCATTTCCTATTACCCCTTTGTGGCTTGGGATCCACATAAATGTGATACGGCAGGAAGTGTTGCCTAGCCATTCCAGTTGCTCCCAAATGGAGCGCGTCAGAAATGAGTGGTCGCGCGACATCGCCGTCGGGTCTAATGATAAAAGTGCACCAAGTGAGTCGGTCGAAATGACTACATCCCTTTCAGAACGGTAACGTACTGAAGCGCTGCTAAAATAGCAAACAGTTCTGAGGAAAAACTGACATGTGGTGCGGGAGGCAGAAACCTGCGGTGTGATCACCGCAAACAAATGCGTAACTCGTTCCTGTCGAGCTGTTGGACCCATCAGTAAATATCTGTAATTAGTTCACATATTGTGAGATCCGTTCCAACGAATAGCTGAGGAACTCTCGTGGTAAGTGCCATTTTTATGACGCTGGCGAAGTTCCAAACCATACTTAGGCCCAGACGTCTACACGGCGCTGGGCCCGAAGGGCGTGCGGGGCAATGTCATCCAGCGTATTATCCGCCTTGTCCAGCCAGTCCCGGACGCGCAGACGTATCGGCCGCGCTGACGTGGGCCGCCCCCTCAAGAAAGAACGAATTAACCTCAGAGAAAGGATTAGCTCAAAGGTCGGCTTATCCGGAAATTGTGAAACCTTTGCGGCGTAATTCGAATTAAGTCGTCTCCTAGGAGGCAAAGGCGATTCATTCGCTTCCACCAGCAAGTTTCTTGTTCGGGTCGTAGGAAACGCCCCAGTGGTTATACGAACACACGTATGGTTGAGTGTGTCCAAAGCCTGCTTCGACGATGTAGGAGCACTGTCGTAGACATAATCGATGCACAATCGATGACCGATCGAATTAAAGCTCTATACAAGTTCAACAGGGTGCATCTATCGGCTCCAAAGGTCATACGACACATTACTTACATGAGGTTCATGCGCTTTAGACACTTGATCTTAATCATCTTGTAGTGTTGCTTAAACGTGAGCCGACGGTGAAACGTGAGGCCTAGGAAACAGATTTCGTTGCAAACTGGAATAGCGGCATTATAGAGTCGCAACCCCGAGTCTCTACAGCCTCTAATCCGTGAGCAGAACTGCATGCACTTAGTCTTGGTGGTCGGAAATTTGAAGTCATTCTCTAAGCTCCACTCAGTTAGTTGAATCAGGCATAACTGAAGCTGCCTCCCTGCCGACGTTGTAAATGCTGCCCACCAGGTGGCAAAGTCGTCTACAAACAGCGACCTGCTGATGGCAGGTGGCAGACAGCCGGCTATATCATTGATCATCAGCGCAAACAGGGCTACGCTAGGGACGCTCCCTTGGAGAACACCGTTCTCTTGTTCGTAGCGATCAGATAGCATGCCACCACTCGGACGCGGAAAAATCGACGCCGTAAAAAGTTTTCAGTGAAGAGTGTCATGTGACTTCGGAGTCCACACTCGTGTACTTTGCTTAGAACGTCGTGGCACAAGGCGGTATCATAACCCCGCTCAATGTTAAAGGAGACTGCTATTGTGTGACGTCTTTGTTTAAAAGAATGTCGTATAGTTGTGTCTAAAATGATTAGGTGGTCAGCAGTGCGTCGGTTCCTCCGAAACCCGCATTGCACTTTGGAAAGACGGCCGTGAGTTTCAAGATACCACATGGGGCGATCATTCACTATCCTTTCTAGCACTTTGCATAGAACTGAAGTCAGCGAAATTGGGCGGTAGTGCAGTGGGTCGGAACCATTCTTTCGGGCTTCTGTATCGGGACTATAATGGCCTCCCGCCATGACTCCGGGAAGTCATCATGCAACCATATGTAGCTGAATAGTTCAATTAAAGCATGGAGGAACTCCTTCTTTAGGTGATTTAACACATCATTGTGCACTTTATCCAATCCAGGTGACTTAGCTCTCTTACGAGCAGTGCAGAGCTCCATGGCAGTGAATGGCTGGTTGTACTCATAAATCCCTGAGCCAGGAATTATGAAATTGATTGCCGTCTTCTCACTTTGTTACTTGTAACGAATCAAGCGTGGGTCGTCTGTTCCATGTCGACACGTTTCTGCAAATGCGGGATCTATTTTGTTGCAAACTTCCTGCGTGTTCAATACCGTGGCTCCCGCCAATTTCAACACGGGAACTGTAGTAGAAACGCTCCTACTGGAAATGCGACTAGCTCGCTGCCATACTGCACTGAGTGGGGTGTGACGATTTAAGCCATTCACATTTTCCCTCCATGATGCACACTTTGCCTCCCGTATTTTGCGTTTCGCCAATGCTCTGGCCTTTTTAAAAGCGATGAGGTTGTTGGCCGTTGCAGAACGCTCAAAAACCTTGAACGCCCGCTTCCGCTCAAGAACTGCCGCCTCGCAGTCCTCTGACCACCAGGGGACAGGGATCCTGCGCGGCTCCGGTGATGTCAAGGGAGTGCAAGACATTGCAGTGTCGGCAGTTGTGGGTGTCTCTTGTTGTGTAAGACACGTTGCATTGTCGTCCTCGGTCGGCTGCATTCTAATATGACGCTCGTCGGTAAACCTTTACCATTTAGCACGTCGAAGGTTCCAGCAGGAAGGCCTCTTCCTGATGAATGTCCGGCATTTATCCCAAGCCAGATTGGAAAATGGTCACTCCAACACGTTGTGTTCTCAAAGACCCAAGACAACCGACATAAAAGGGACGAGCAGCAGATAGAAAGATCTATCGCTGAAGTGGTGCTGGACGGCAGATATATATGGGTATGCCGGCCGGTGTCAACAACACAAATATTTTTGTATTCAGCAAACGCTCAAGATGTCGATCTCGGCGGCTTGTGTGACTGCAGCCCCACGAAGGGCCATGGGAGTTGAAGTCACCTAGCAACAAGAACGGCGATAGAAGCTGATCGAAGATGGACTGTAATATCAAATCCGGTACTTCCTCAGCGGGAGCGAGGCAGATAGAACAGACAGTCAGCCTCAACGACCCAAGGTCGACGACGACAGCAACAGCTTGAAGATCAGTGTTAAGACTTACAGGAGAACACGGTATACTGTGATGAACTAAAACCGCCACCCCACTATGGGCGATCGTGTCAGTTCTCACGTCCTTCCGAAAGATGCTGTAACATTTGATCTTAAGGTGAGTGTCATTAGATACCTTTGTTTCCTTTAAGCATGCCACAACCGGTTTACGATTAGATAAGTGTGTGTGTGCAGGTCCGACATGTTCGCCCTCAAGCCACGCATGGTCCATTGTAAAAACGTCAGTGGCATGCTAGATATGCTTGTATGTGGGGTGTACGGTTAAGATTCATCGGTATAACTTACATCTCCTTTAAACGTTCACCTGGGATTTCGCACTAAACAAATCTACCTGGCGACGCTCTACTTCAGTGCAGCTAAGCCGGACCCCTGGCCGAGCTTTGGGACTTCCACCCTGCGTAGGCGACGTCGGCCAAAAAGGGGCACGCTTTGTTGCACGACCTGCCGCCGTGAACAGCGGGGTAGGCAGACCTGAAACCCCGTCTCCAAATAGAGGAATAGGAGGCGGACCCATTGACCCTCCCGGCGAGTGGGGCGGAGTCGACAGCGGGAGCCGGCCTCCGGTCCGCGGTGCAGACGCCGACCTGGCGGCGCGCCCTGCAGGTCCAGGGTCCAGAGAACCCGGACGAACAACAGTTTCAGAAGGGAGGCTCCGGGAGGGAGCGACGACCGGGGGATGCCGAATGGACACGGGATGCCGACTTGTCCGGCTCCCGTGAGCCGGGAGGACCGGCGCTCCCGGCAGGGCTACTAGCTGGGGAGCCAGAGGGGGTCAGCTCTCGTAGCGTCCCTGTGCCAGCGACGACAGATCCTGTCGTAGCTGGTATGGATGGAGGGGGAGATGGAGCCCGGGAGGGCATGTCTCCAGCACGGGCTGGGTTGGGGTGCGATGATGGGGGCGAAGTCCACGGCCTCGCTGGACCGCGGTCCATAACCCGTTCCCGGGTCGCACCCCAGTCCCGGGCTCTCTGGCAGCTCCACCAGGGGGTTCCATTTCCATAGGTTGAGCTTCTCTAGCGGCGCCACCACCGCAGGTGGATCCTTTTTTGGAGGATCCGACTTCCGGGGCGACGGGACAGCGGAGTCAGTTGATACAAGTGTGCCTAGAATCAGCTGTACAAACTTGCCTACAGTCATGTCTTTGAAATTATCAAATCCACTCAGTTTCAGTACCCCGTTGGCTGAGGGTGTTACTTGGGATAAATTTCTTGCCGGTTTAGTATGGGTGTCTTTGTATGTTCTTGTGGTGGTCGCATCGTTGTGTCGGCGTTGGGCCTCCCGAAACGAGACTTCTTCCTTCACTTTGATGTTCAGGACAGCTTTCTCTGACAAGAAGGACTTACAGCTACGATATGACGCCCCATAACCCTGACTACAGTTGACGCATTTCACGGTTTCTGATTTACACTCAGAGTGTTGGTGACCTATTTCGGCACACCTTTCGCATCTAACCTCTTTCCAGCACTTGTCCGTGAAGTGACCATACGTCTGGCATCGGTAGCACCGGACTGGGTCAGGTACATAGACCCAACAGGGGCCGACTGATATCTAGCGCGGACCCTATCTGGCATTCTCGCAGAGCAAAACGTCAGAATAATCGAATCAGTATCGGTCAGCTCTCCTCTCTCTCCTCTTGATACGTCTCATCGCCGTTACCCCTTCCTCATACAAGCCCTCGGCAACATCCTCATCACTCACACCGCGAAGGTCCAGGCAAGTAATCGCACCCTTGGAGTAGTTCTTAGAGCGATAAGGGTGCACCGATACGGGCACCCTAACTTCTCCCTGTCCTCGTCCTTTGTAGACTAGTGTGGTCGTCTTGAGCATGCGCTGGATCTCGCGTTCTTCTGTTAAATACACTTATTCGCCTTCATCCGTATACGAAAAGACATCCTTGGGTGTCCCGATCTTGGAAAATGCTTGTTGGCGCTGAATGGGTTCAGTCGAAGCGGTACTGTTTTTCCTTGGTCATCTACCTTGGCGGATCTTACAACCAGAAACTGGGGCAGTGGCAAAGGACGACGGTCTGGGCTTGGGGGTTGGTTGATGATATAGAGTCCATAAGTATGTGCTTATATTTGGCGCGCTGATTCCCCGCCCACCATGGAGCCCAACACGGGGACGGTCCACTTTCAAGAGAGGAGCCGCCAGTGCTACCAACACGCTATACGCAGACCAGTGTGCCAAAAGAGTTGCCGTGAGAGCCGCCGGGCACGGGTCTGCGGGCGCCAGTGCCTCGGTTCGCAGGGGCTAACCAGACACCTTGGTAACAAACTGAGGTACGACCCCTTAATGGTGTCAGGAGGCAGACACTGTACCAGGCAGCCCCCCCCCCCCCCCCCCCCTCTACACCCATCACATGGCCTGCTTGCCTTCAAGCCAGTGTCACAAAAACACGACGTCTGACCAGCCGATTTCCTCGTGTGGAGACTTCACGAGGCATCCGCAGGATTACAAATTCGTGCCAAAGCCACGTGTTGGTAATCTGCCCCGACTGACCCGCAGGGCAACTCCGTCAGTGACCAGGATCCCTTCATCGCTACCTGCGGATCCAACGGGGTACGGCGAGACCCAGATAAGATTAAAAAGCTGGGGCCGAGGAGTTGCTAATCCCTACTCTGAACGAGTCAGAGCCCTTGTGAGAGGCACGTTTCGTCTGGCCCCTTCCCCTTGGCCGGAAGGAGCGCTTTACAAGCCTCCCCAACCGCCCGCAGGATCATTGGGGCACACAAGCTTCCCACCACGAAAAGGTGGTGCCTTACGGGGGGAGGCGGCGGACCGGTACTCCGTTCGCTTCGGGCCTTAGGCTCCCGCCCCCACCCCCTGAAATCCAATAGCACGAACTAAACGTCCAATATAAGAGTCCACAGCGGGCTGAGCGTGTGTATTTGATTTTGCAGCCGCTGGAGCAAGCGTTTCCAAAACGCTTTAAAGTACATGAAGATAAAAACAGATGGGGTAATAAGACTACCCCGCACTTCTAGCTGAGCGCAGCGCACGTTAGGTCAGCGGAAACAATGTTCCAAGCACCCAATGCGGTGCCGTTTCGTGTCTAATGGATCTCGGAACTCTCCCAAATATCAATGCACTGTCGGATCAAGATTCATCCAGTTTATTACCCGGGCACTTCTCGTCACTGTTAGTGTGATGAGCAGGCATATATCGCTCAAGCCAGCGGTTCGTGGATCAATTATGATGCACGTCTTTCGGTCGGTTGGCTGATTTTATGAAGGACGGTTCTACTTGTCCAACAACTGTTGCCCAAGATTGTGACAGACTACGTAAGTTGCAAAAACTATATTAGCACGGTCTATAACCCCGCTATTTCGAAAAGGAGACCAGCTGCTATTAAGTGAACGTCGGTCCTTTGAGATAAATCGCGGAGATAATATGCCTAATACTGCGTTTGCCGTAGTCCGATGGAAGCAAGGCGACAAACCCTCCCACATCGCAGAAATCAAGACCTGATAAGTGCATTCGTTGAACCTTTCCACTCGCTGCGACGGAGCTAGACTCGTCCACCAAGGGTCATCACTGTATTTACACCACCAAGCACTACACCGCTCCTCACACAAGGAGACCGGGCCGGCGGCCGAGACCGCGTGCTGCGGACGGCGGCCACGGCTGGCCGGCTACCGACGCCCCCAGTCGCCCCAGGCTACGACAGGCGGCCATGGCGGCCGCTACTTGTCGAGCGGCACCTCCTCGGCGGCGGGCTTCAGCCGGTGCGCCGGGAACTGCTCCCAAGGCGACTCGAGGTCGAACTTGCGGAACTCCTGCGCCAGCTCCACGGGCTCCACCACCACGCGCTTGGCCTCATCGTCGTAGCGAACCTGGGGACGTCATGTATCGGCAGTGAGCTCGGCAGGGGTGAAGACGGCAGCGGAGGGAAGGGTTCGTCGGGCCATTGCGTCGTGCATGGGTTTCTTTGATAACGACTAGCTGAGGCGCTCTTATTGCAGCTTGCAGCAACTTGCTTAGTGTTTGTTGCGGTGAATGAATGAATGTTAATAAATGTGGATGCGTGTATGCGAATGAACGAATGCGAGTAAATGACAGAGTGAGTGAACTGACACGGATGAAAGTGAATAAATAAATGCAAATAAGTGTGGATGAACTAATATTCATTCATGCAATGTCAATGTAGATGGGTGAGTGTGAATGAATGAATGAAAGTTAACGTATCAATACAGAGTGAGTGTGAGTGAATGAAAGCAAATAAATCAATGCAAATAAGTGAGAGTGAGTTTATGTAAATGAATGAATGTCATGAGTGCCTGTTTTCATGCCGCAATACCACAGAGGCGCCGCGCGTCTGTCGCTGCGGCAGCGGCGGCGTGTTACCTCCACGTATCCAGAGAGCGGGAAATCCTTCCTAAAGGGGTGGCCCTCGAAGCCGTAGTCGGTGAGGATGCGCCGCAGGTCCGGGTGGTTGGAGAAGAACACGCCGTACATGTCCCAAACCTCGCGCTCGTACCTGAAACACAGCCGGCAGGGTGACGGTCCGCACAGCAACGGCGCTCAGCGCGGCTAAGGGGCGCTCCAGCAGCCACGCTGGTCAGCTCCGCTCCGCGGTTGCCGGCACCGGGCAGGGCGGTGCCGGCAACCGCGGACAGCCGCCACCACACGGCGGCACCTGACCACGGTCCGTACCAGAGGGTTGCGGTGGTCTGACGGGAGGGCCAGGAGGCGAGACGGACCGATCAGGCGGCGGATGTGACGCGTGGCGGCGCCGGGCGGCCGTGTAGTACGGCAGGCCGGGCGGCGGGCGCAGGACGTGACCCCAAGTGGTGCATGGATCCGGACAGCCGTACACCGGGTTGTGGTTGCTGCACCATCCATCGGGCCGCAGAACGACAGACCGCCCGGTGACTGATGACTGCACTACCACCGACGGGCACCAGTGGCAGCGCCAGACGTCAGCCCCGGCCGCAGCGCGACAGGTGTCACGAGGCGGTGGCGTCGGTGTCAGACCGTCAGCCCCGGCCGCCAGCGCGACGGATGTCACGAGGCGGTGGCGTCGGTGTCAGACGTCAGCCCCGGCCGCAGCGCGACAGGTGTCACGAGGCGGTGGCGTCGGTGTCAGACGTCAGCCCCGGACGCAGTGCGACAGGTGTCACGAGGCGGGTGGCGTCGGTGTCAGACGTCAGCCCCGGACGCAGTGCGACAGGTGTCACGAGGCGGTGGCGTCGGTGGACGTCAGCCCCGGACGCAGTGCGACAGGGTCAGGCGGTGGCGGCGCCAGACGTCAGCCGCCGCCGCAGTGCGACAGGTGTCACGAGGCGGTGGCGTCGGTGTCAGACGTCAGCCCCGCCGCAGCGCGACAGGTGTCACGAGCGTGGCGTCGGGTCAGACGTCAGCCCCGGACGCAGTGCGACAGGTGTCACGAGGCGGGTGGCGTCGGTGTCAGACGAAGTCGCAGCGCGGCCCGGGTGTCAGACGTCAGCCCCGGACGCAAGCGCGACAGGTGTCCACGGGCGTGGCGTCGGGTCAGACGTACAGCCCCGGCCGCAGTGCGACAGATGTTCACAAGGATGGTGGCGTCGGTGTCAGACGTCAGCCCCGGACGCGCAGTGCGACAGATGTCACAAGGCGGTGGCGTCGGTGCCAGACGTCAGCCCCGGACGCAGTGCGACAGGTGTCACGAGGCAGTAACGACGGCGTGACACGCACCAGTTGGCCGCCTTGAACACCTCGTTGGCCGACTCGATGGGCGTCAGCTCGTCCGTGTATGTCTTGACGCGGATCCGGGAGTTGAAGCGCAGCGACAGCAGGTTGTAGATGACCTGCGGCGATCGCCACGGTATGTGATGAGGTGGCGAGAGCCTGCCATCCAGTACCCAGCGTTACGACACGACTGGCGGGGTGTTCCGACAAATCAAGGTCATCTCTACGTCTGCCACCTGGTATCTGCTATATGGCCGGCGCATCACAGCACTGACCCATTTAGATTGTCAGATATAAGCAGTATGGGGCCATAAACGCCGTAGCTTTAACGTAACCCGAATCATGCAATACTCAGATGCAGTGGAAGATATTCCCAAGGAAACATTTTTACAATGCAGGAAATATAACACTTGGTATCATTTCGCTCCTCACGCACACCAAAAAATCGATCAAATCTGGACCAACGTCTGAACATCGTTCATGACACAAACTGCACTTGAAATCCTCGCCAAGCGTCATAACGAACACTCCCTTCCACGAACAGCACTGCCAGGTACAGCAGGAGGCCGTCGTGCCGCGCCGTACAGCACCGCGGGGTACAACAGGAGGCCGTCGTGCCGCGCCGTACAGCACCGCAGGGTACAACAGGAGGCCGTCGTGCCGCGCCGTACTGCACCGCCAGGTACAGCAGGAGGCCGTCGTGCCGCGCCGTACTGCACCGCAGGGTACAACAGGAGGCCGTCGTGCCGCTCCGTACAGCACCGCCAGGTACAGCAGGAGGCCGTCGTGCCGCGCCGTACGGCGCCGCCAGGTACAACAGGGGGCCGTCGTGCCGCGCCCTGCGGCTCGCCAGTGATCCGGGACGCCGACCACCCACCTCGAATCGGTAGTGTCGCGACGGCACGTCCATGCCGCAGATGTCAGCCAGGTTGACGAACTGCGCATTGTGGTGGTCCTTGAGGAACTGCAGGACGGGCACCACGCCCTCGGGGGCGATCAGTACCTGAGGAACGGGGGTGGGAGGTCGTGCGGTGTCAACCGGAGCGTGGGGACATACAGGGCTCCACTAGAGTCGGCCACCTGAGGAACGGGGGTGGGAGGTCGTGCGGTGTCAACCGGAGCATGGGAGCAGACAGGGCTCCGCTGGAGTCGGCGCACCTGAGGAACGGGGGTGGGAGGTCGTGCAGTGTCAACCGGAGCATGGGGACAGACAGGGCTCCGCTGGAGTCGGCCGCTGGTAAGCTTAAGTCACCACTGGAGCAAGCTGGTCACATTCTCGTCACCACATCACACAAATGCATTTATTGCAATTGCTAAAATGACCATAACCACACTCAGCCTTTTCACTGGCACTGCCCCCAGATCGAATGTCTCATAACATATTTTGGGGAATCAAGAACGAGTGTTCGACACTCATTCTTACCGACGGAACGAGTGTTCACTGTTGCTTTTATATCAGCACCAATTATCAAAGCTAGTGGTCCGAAATCTCCGATTCAGGGAACCCCAAGCTCATGTATGACGCTCAAAAGCCATTTCAACACGTATCGTTATGTTTCACATGCAATAACAATAATAACAAGGGAAATAAAGACAGCCGTAGTATGCCGACGCAGGCATGCTTACAGGAACGGGGCATGTATTTCTCACCTCGAGCTCATTCCCCGACGTGATCTGGACCCGCTGTACATACTTGGGCAAGCACTCGGCCACGTACTTCCCGAAATCGGAGAGCGTTCGCTTCTGAGCAGGGTCCACCTTCAGAGCAGTGGCTGAAAACGTGAGATCCAGGTGAGGACACCAGGCAATGGTAATGACTTGCACGTCTTACGGATTTGATCGGCCAGACAATAACACATACAGGACAAAAATCAACCATTCTTGGGACATAAGCTGCTTTGGCAGGCATCTTGCGCACCTGAAGCCGAACAATTTCAACACATTTCCACAAAAATCGGAATAATGTGTTCACTGGATCTCACTTCGCAAATATGTGTACATGAATGACAGTGCATTGTACCGTTTAGTGACCAGCAGGTTGCAATGCATTTTCATTTAACGGCCGTGAAACGCCAGTAATCACAACACAATACAGGAGAGGTTCACAAAATGGTTAAAAAAGCAAAAGGTAACCATTTCTCACTATACCGGCATCAACACTCAACATACTTACGGCCTACAGCCTGCGTTGTGGTAGTTTTTGATCTTGCATTGGAGCGTAGAAGTGCACCTGTGGCTCTGTGAACTTTGAGGGCTGAAAGAAAGGAGCACAGATGTTGAACAGAGCTCTTTGGCCACTGGCCGCGTCACGCCGCCTGTGTTGCATCAGCTGGTTGAGACAAGCTGATCAGCTGAGCAGAGGCACATTCTCTGGTGCAGTCATGGCCACCCAACCCCAGAGCCGCACGCGATCTCTCGCTGTGCAGACGTCTCAAAGCACCTGTCATCGGTTCAGTACCTTCCTGTCCGTTGCGACTCAAGTGCCGCCATATGCTGACCTTACATTCACTCCAACCAGGAGTCTGACTTCTGACACGCAGGTCATGGGTGTAAAAACGAGCCCCGGGCCTGAAGGGACAATGGATCCTAAACATATGGCTAATCCGAGGAAATCCTGCAGCTAAATGAAATTACTGACCAGTGACATAAGAAAAACAACACGAGGCATTAGCATGTGATGGGGGGGGGGGGGATTTCTTTGTCAAACCGCAAACGGTATATATATATATATATATATATATATATATATATATATATATATATATATATATATCATATCATATCAAGTAACTACAGGATGGCTGCCAGTTCCTTGAGCTTGGAAATCAATCAGATGAAACTCCGCCGAGAGGGAGTCCTTCGGCGTCAGCGCGTGTGATAGAGCACCTCGCTTCCTCCAATGGTGGATAACAACGCTGTCCCAGCGTGAAAGGGGCTTCAATTGATGACAACCGGAGTCTCCAGGCCCAACCAAGTGTATTACAACGACCTTCATGATGGACCTGAAGAAAACTGAACGTGAAAAAGGCGGACGTCCGGTTAATCGCGAATGCACTGTACTATCAAAAGCTCCCACATTGGTCAGCATCCAGCACAACAGAGTGATGTCTTTTGCAACCCACATCGACGCCACGAGCGTGAGGATGACGAAAATGCGCAACTGCCTGACCGTGCTAGCGGGTCAGAGCTACAGAGGCAGAGCTACGACGCGCACTGCATCCAGCGGACCTCGCACACACCAGGTCAGCCTTCAATACAAGACGGCCATCGACTTCAGCCACGCGGCAGCATAGCGGCGCGCGAGGGAAGCGATGCTGGGCAACGGAAATCAGCAACGTTGACAACCAGACGCAGCCGGCTTACAGAGAACCTCCGGCACCAGATGCAAGCTTGCACTCGCTCTTCGTTCGAGTAGGAAGATGGTAGCGATCGAGCACGCGAGAATGACCCGACTCCTTGAAGACCCAACCCAGCAGCTGCTGCGGCTCTCCAAGATCTAAGGATACGGTACTGAGCTTGTGAGGCTGGGGGCCGAATACGCTCAAGCGCTAGCACGGTAAATGAACCAATCCAAACCACACCCAGATGATGGCACAACCTTGCATCATTAACTCTGCCTCAACCTGGTGGGCAAGAGGATCTCTCATTGAGCCAGACAGAGGTGCCTCCAACTGGAGCTCCTGGCTCCCCCCTGAGTGAGCACATTTTTGGCCGAAATGCACCAGCTTTCTACCCAAACCATGACTACACCATATGGCTAACCAGATCAGTCAAAACCAAGAGTGCATGAGAAGGTGGAGCCCTGATCAGCCTGCACTGTGAAAGATGCCCCTTAGCATATCTGGTCCCCATGGGAGTTGCATGCAGCACATGAGGGCTGAGCTGTGCAGCAAATGCATGCAGCGCATGAGGGCTGAGCTGACGGTCAGAGGGTCAGACAGAAATCACCGGGTTCCCCAAACTAAAGCTCTCCTTTTCAGGAAATGCTGCTGTGAACAAACTGCCTGTCTACCAGCTTCTGACAAGTGGTCCAACTGTGGTACTCGCCCAGTAGGCACAGAGTTTACCCCACACATGACACAGGTGGAGGGAGCCAGGTCAGCACGTCTGGAATGAAATGAAAGAAGATCACAGACATCTGCAGCTGGGAGAGGGCTGCTGTGTGCCTCAAGGCTAGATGGGCGCCTGAATCCTGCAGTTTGCCATGCAAATCAGCAACCTACTGCCAGCTATGAAGACTTGACAAAATGGGAACAGACGACCTTGCCCAACTAAGAGCTGGCTACTACACGTTGGAGGATACAAACTCACACCACATCACGCTGACAGTGGGCTCACCCTGAAGGGAGCGCAGTGAGGACAACACGGAATGTCTTTGTCTGGGTGGTCAGGCACATAACTCAAATACTACCAGCTGATCTCCCCAGCTGCTTTGTGACATATGGAGGAGAACAATGGCTGCCAGAAATGGAGATTTCCACCTGTTGTAACAATTACCAATCCACATTTAAAGGAGCTTAAACCAACACAAGCTTTCTTATGGAACATCACAAAATCGTCCCTCAACTGCCTGGAGCTTGTCAGCAAGCTTCCCTGGTAGCTTTATACCCCAGAGACAAGAAACAAAAAAGTCTGATTTTTACTTTGATTAATGGTGTTGGTCTGCCTAACCAGCTGTTGTCACGTTTAGCTCGTTAGTTCTGGTGTTAAACACCTTCCAAAAAAAATTCAAAAGTTAAGCACTATTATCAGCTTTCCAATAAAAAAGTCAATTAAGGAAATACTGCGCGTGAACACCCTACAAAACGGAGGACGGTTACACACTGGGCTTATACACTCTCCAAAATAGAGGACGGCCACGCACCGGGCTTACACACCGTCCAAAACAGAGGACGGCTACGCACCGGGCTCATACACCCTCCTAAATGGAGGACGGCTACGCACTAGGCTTATACGCCCTCCAAAATGGAGGATGGCTACGCACCGGCCTTATACGCCCTCCAAATTTTTTTCAGATGGCTGTACGCGCCAAGAATACGCAGACTGCCAGTCTCGGAGTGAGGCGAGTGCAAACGTGCACAATCCCGTGCGAAAACTAGGCTCAATGCGTTATATGCATGAGACGATCACGAAATCTATCAAACCGCTCTGAGCCAATTCTTCTCTGATGCGGTAGGCCCCGGTTCGAACCCCGATGGCGGCCGCTATTGAGTAGGTGGCTTCATGGCCTATTGGCGTGGCATGATGATGCTAACTCTCTTTACTCTTAGGCGGAATAAATTCTAACTTGGGCTTTTTATATCGGACAGAAGCGTAGTTTCTGATGCCTAGGAAAGGGAGCCCACACTCTACAGAGATGTTGCGGATCCCGTGAATGTTGACCGTAAATCCAAATCAGGCGGCAACTTGTAAAAACGCAGGCAGTGCTCTTTCGTCTCAGAATGTTCAAACATGAGTCAGAATCAACTAGTGAAACGTCAGGTGCACACTACCTTTCCAATCAATCACTTGAAGACCATTCGGTCCCAGCGCGAGGTATCTACAGGCTACCATCCTGGCAACATGTAAGGGGTTCGCCCGGAGGCCCTCACAGATGTTCATCCTACACTGGTGCCCTCCCTGGCGTGGAAGGCCCCCTGGCCGCTTCCGGCCGGGGCATTTGGCCCGGAATAGACACAAGAGCCCTTATTAGTGCAACAAGGTCCCTGATCACCGTAGGTGGTCTTATAACTGGTACAGAGACTCATGTTTGGCCGACGGGCCCTTTGCTGAAATGGGGTGAAGGGCCCCGCAAGGGCTCCAGGTCACCCCTGGCCGACTTGGGACTCCTCCCATCACAGGACCCCTGTTGGACACTCTGGGGGCCTGACCGTCAAAAGACCACTCATTGTTGTAAGAACTCCGACCAATGCAAATCACGGGCCTCAGCCTCGTTCCCGCTAGAAAAATGCGGGACCACAGGGCTAAGAACAACACGGAGTCGACTATTCTGACTGTTTGGTGTAGTGGACTCCCACCGAAATAGGGGACCGCATTGTCCCAGGGGTCCACAATCGGTGAAAGCGGCATATTGGCTGACATTTGGTGTCACAGCCATGCGAGCCAAGATGATCTGCAGCCTTTTGACGCCCAAGGCCATTTAGCCTTTCCATTGGGCAATTGATTGTCAGTCTTGAAGGGTACATCAACCCCTCTTTGGGCACCCTCAAACACCCCTTGACCAACTTGGGGGCCCTTGTCAACACCGGACCTCCAGTTAGGCGCTGTGTACCCCTAGCTGACACAGGGGCCCCTCATTGCCTCAGTGTGCATCGACCAATGTAAATTGCAGGTCCTGGCCTTGTCCCTACTTGCAAAAAAGGCCCTGACTGGCATTGAGCTGACTGTTCAATATTGGTAGAGCCCAAATAAAATAGAGGCCCTCATTGTCTCAGAGGGTCCAACTGGTGCAACAGGCCCTCTGACTGGTATTTGAAGGTCTGATTTGCCCCCCCCCCCCCCTTAATGATCTCTAGCCGGCCCTTCAGGTCCCATATAGGATTTACAATGTTCACATCTGAGGTTTCTTTGAGGTTACCTTAATGACACTTCAGGCCTAGAATCAGACACTTTCTCCCTGCAACAGTTCCTGCAACAGGAGGAGGGGTAAAAAAGTGGAAAATAATAAAAGTATCCTCCCAGAACCTACACAAACAAGCAAGTTTCCCCTTGAATTTTGTCCACTTTCCCCTCAAGGAGTCCAAATAAGGGAGAGAGAGTTTCCTTGAGGACATGAAAAACTGTGCCACTGTCAAGCTCTGAGGAGTTGAGCATTTTTCTTTTTAGATAGGTGTGACATGACCATTACTTACATCACCATTCAAATGTCACAGGATGAAAGCATCCATATCAATCATGTTCCTGATCAGGGACTCCAATGCCACCTGCCTGCCAGGACTAGAAACCCCATTACCAGGTGAGAGCCTCATGCATTAACCACCTGGCCACAGCACCTCTATTTCAGTAAGTAAATTTGTCAACCTGGGGATTTTTGGTGAGTGTATCCAGTGTTTGAAATTTGTTTTTGGCTCTTAGGAAGAAAACAAAAATTATAAATTCATGGCTTATAGTGAGAACAAAATAACCCAGGCAAATAACCATTATATTCACAACTGGCAATTAACAACATTCCTTTTTCATGTCTTTTTACCTATTTTTTCTCCTCATAAAAGTGGAGAACAGATAAATCCCAGCCCATCCAGCAGTAACATGCCGCTAAGACATTTTTAGGTATCATGCAATATACGCATCCCAACCGCTTGCACCAAAGGCTGACTGCGACAAAACCAACGCACCTAGAAAATACAAACGCTTATACACAGCATGTTTTTATCAACCTCATGCCACGACGCTGGACAAATAATAGCACTAACCTCGTCTAGAAGCCAAATTTGCAAGCGTGGTGCAAGCGATAACGCGAAAAGGTAATGACATTCTTGCAAGTGAAGGCCGACAACACAACTGCAGGCACCCGTCAAGGTGTATACTAAACCAGCTTTGTGATTAAACGGCAGCCAGATTATGCATTTTGAAAGAAATGACGTCTAAATAACGAAAATATTACATTTAGCAGAGACTGTATCACCTATTGCAGCGTGTGGCGATACATTTCATTCAAGTATTGCAATCTATATCATAATGCTACCTGAAAGCACCATGGTCTAAATCTGGAGAGAAGCTTGGAAGGTGAAGCTATCATGCTGCCCCAATGCATTACGGTCATAATCCGTAATCGTTGAACATCGACAGCGAACCATCATATTTCCATGGTCTTTCGGAGTGATTTGCTTGATTTTCCATGATATCTAGCACCCAACTTACACTCAAATACATGGTCCAAGTGCAGGTCGACGACTAATCGATAAATGACCTACGACTGTTCTATGCACCACTGCCGCTGCTGCGCCGATACTGCCTCAGTGGGAGGAGAGGCAGAGTGTGAGTGTACGAGTAGAGGTTGGGTGCGTTGTAGGGGTGTCGTGCATAGTTGCGTACTAGGCCGGGGAGTGGTTGGGTGCGAATCATTACCTACGTTTCTTTGCCTTGGTATTGAGTGAGTGTTTCCAATGAATATTCTTGTGAGATAACGTGAATAAGACTGGGCGGGCTCCCTGTGGATATAGAAGTATGGAGCTCTGGCCCGAAGGAAAACAAACGAGGTAGGTGGACTGATAGATATCACACTCTCTCCTTGGTGTAGAGTAGGTAACCAGGCGCGCTACCAGGATATGGTATGTGGGGGTGGGGGAAAACTCTCTCCCTGGAGCTGCTTTCAAGCTGGTAGACTAGGGTAGTGTAAAAGCTTATATTTTGGTATTCTTCATTTACTTCACCTTTTTTAGAAGAAGAAAAATCTACCTACATTTTGACAGTCTACGATTGGAATGAGGCAGCAATACTAATGCCTTAAAAGTCATAAGCATGTTGTAGGTGCATGCTATGATACTGACAGATGTGTTAGCCTTATTTTGGGAAAATAATACTGCATCTGTCTATATCAAGCAAAAGCTTGATGTCCCATGCCTGTAGTACCCAATGGCATGTCAGAGCTACAGATAAATGATCTTGTGCAGAACATTAAGAGCATCATGTCTCTGAGATTAATTGCAGGGGCTCATACAGGAATAAGGGATGACAAACTCATCCATAAATTGATTTTAGATGGAAAAGTATGCATTTCATGGGTAAAATTAGGAGGGACACCAGGGTGGTTTGTGGAAATTCGAGATTACCTATTCATGCAGCCCAGTGTGCAAATAATATAATCACTGCACTGGACACCTCCATAACATGTGAACTCAATCTCATGCTTGCATATGCTGAACCCAGCCCAGGCCTAATAACACTGCACTTTGAAATGATTTTTGTGTGGGAACTTTGTGATATTATTTTGCCATGCTTTTTTTGCCTGATAAATGCTTTACCCTGACCTTGACCACATCAGCACTCCTTTAAACTTTGGTTCTCTATGCTTTAGATTTGTTGTGCCTATGTGTCAAACTCTGAGTGTTAGGATGTGCTGTGTATATGCAAAAAGTTTGGTATCAGGGTATTGTCTTTACACCAGACATGTTCAGTGTAATATATCAGTTTTACAGTCTGGCATGCAACCCCCTATGCAGAATCATGTTTGCGATATCTTCACCTGTCAAACCAAGTCATTGCCAGCTTTTATGTATACAGTAATATCATCCTTGCCATGTAAAACATGACTTTGAGGTCTATTTCTGAAAGCTGAGCATGGTTTCTGCTTGAACATTTTTGGCTCTCAGTGGCCATGTGGTGCTCTCTGTGCTTGTTCTTAGCTGGCAAAAACTACACTTACTTAAGAGAGGGTTTACAGGTTAAAGATATGCATAGATAATCATCACACTGCTCACTCTAGTCCCTGTGAAACCAGTATGTGCTGGTTTTATAGGGACTGGAGTGCTGAAAAGGGAGTTTTTCATAGTGCTGAAAGATTGATCACAAACCTTCAAATGGCCAGGTATTGCCAAACACTTCTGACAGCTAGGTCCATGGCTGCTCAATTGTTAAGCACATTTTTGAAGTGGCTTAGGGCCTAAAGCAGTCAGTGACAATCAGACACGGAATGGCTTCTAAGACAGGCTGGAGCTGCATGATGTAACAAATATGAGGGTCTAAAGAATACCCTTCTACCCCAACCCTCTGGTGTTGAACACTACATATTTGTCCATGTCCATCAACCCATGTTCTGATTACCCTTTCTCATGGGTACTAACAAAGGAGATGAGATTATGCACTTTCATTGTTTCTTGCTGACTGTTGGTCTCCATTACCTATTGACATCTTCAAAAACACTTTAAAGGCTAAATCGAGAGTCATTTGTATTGGTCTCAGTCAGGCAGCAGTGCAGAATTAATTGAGTTGGGTGTGAGGAATATACAAAAAAATCCTGCTACCAGATTTCTAGCTGCCTGGCACCCTATGTGTGAGTGGGTGTAATAACTGTGGAGGGAGATGGCTGGGAGGACATCTCCCCCTCCCCCCCCCCCCCATTTTGTCTGTAGAATGCATGTCTTTCATTTTCTCCATTCAAAATGTCACCTTCAGTACAGGTTATACCAGTTTGACCCCTTCAATCCCAATTGCCCCCCCCCCCTCCCTCCATCCCATCCCAAAGCATGTGGTGTGGTATGTGACGTGGCTACACACATGTATTCACTCACGTTTTGTTGTTTGCTAATCTGTTGCACTCTGACCCCAAACCTTGAAAACTGACCTGGTCTGGTAATTTGGCAAGCCCAACAAGCCTGAATGCTGTGTTCATCTTTGCTCAGCCCGACCTTGATTGGTTGATCGTGAGCGATGGGAGGAGCAGCAGGCAGTGAACCGCAAGCTGGAGGTTTGGTAGCATGAAAAGATCGACAATCGATCGCCAAAGTGGCCGAATATTATCATGCTGTGCTCAGGACAGGTGGTGGCACCTGTTTCAGAAGGCCGCGGCTGCCCTGAAGGCCTGCTGGCATGTCTAGCTGCTGACTTCCGGTGGTGGCGTCACCACTGCAGCACAGCAAAACACCATGTCGATGCTATATCAGACATCAGAGGAGAGCAACGAAGACGACGTCGTCTTCGATGATGTCTATGAACTATGTGAAGTCATTGGAAAGTAAGTTACCCTTCATGTGTATTGTTATGCATTTTAGCAGTGGTTTAGGCGGGCCACATCAGATGCTAGATACATTGGCTACTGATTGCACGCATTGTTAATTATCTTCACGTTGTGTACATTTTAGCAATCCATTGGACTGGCCACACTAGACGCTAGACACGATGGCCACTTATTGCTGGCATTGTTGATGATCGTCGATGATCGCCGAGCTGCTGCCTGTTGCTCTAATGCCGCCAGTGGTAGCAAACATATGATGGCGTCCGTTAGCGTACCCGCGTGCCGATCTCTGACCTGTGAAGCCTGTGCACCGATCTCTGATCTGTGAAGGCTGCGTGCCGACCTCTGATCTGCGCGGGTTGCATGCCGATATCAGATTTGCGAAGGATAGTCGCTGATCTCTGATCTGCGAAGGATGTGTGCTGATCTCTGATCTATGAGGGCTGTATGTCGATCTCTGATCCGCGTAGGCTGCATACCGATCTATGATCTGCGAGGGCTGTGTGTTGATCTCTGATCTGCGAAGGATGTGTGCTGATCTCTGATCTGCGAGGACTGTGTGCCGATCTCTGATCTACGTAGGCTGCATACCGATCTCTGATCTGCGTTGGCTGCGTACCGATTTCTTATCTGCGTAGGCTGTGTGCCGAAGTGACCTGGTGTCTGACCAGGCTGAGGTGACCTGGCGTCTGACCTGGCGTCTGACCTGGTGTCTGACCGGGCCGAGGTGACCTGGTGTCTGACCGGGCCGAGGTGACCTGGCGTATGACCTGGCGTCTGACCGGTTGCAGAGGGCCGTTCAGTGTGGTGCAGCGGTGTATCCACCGGCCGACCGGCCAGCAGTTTGCGGTCAAGATCGTTGATGTAGCCAAGTTCACGGCCAGTCCTGGCCTGGGCACAGAAGGTGAGGTGCTGACCTCGATCAGAGCTGACGCGCGCGTTATTTACTCGGCTGACGTCGGGATCAGAGTCCTTGCTAGCTATTGTTCGCTGCGTTTGCCGTGACGCTGGCGCTCGAGCAGTCTAAACGATGACATTGCAGTGAACTGTGCCGAGATATTTTCACTTCGGCATGTAGTACCAGGCACGGCAGTCCCTGGTACCGCACAGTTGAGCTACGGTTACCTTTAGTTTCGGTGGGGCCTCAACTCATAGCAACTGGGAGCAGCAATGCGTGGGTATCGCGGTTTCCTCCGCACCATCCAGGCAATTAAAAGTGTCACCCATTCAATTTGTGGTAAGGAGTGTCAAAAGCTATGAACCACCCTTGTTCCGCACCACTTCCTTCGTGGTACCGACAGACTGCTGCGTGCTATTCCTTTCACATAATTCCTCTGGGCTTTGATGATTCGGTTGAATTTTTGCGTGTTCACGTGCTACCAAGCGAAATGAAATCGTTCGGTTTTACGATTTTTGCCTTACTCGCTTTCAAACCACCGGAGCACATTAAGTACCTCCCCGTTTTTTGGTACGTTGTTTAACCCAGTACGTCTTGAGCGCCTTAAACGCTTTACGGAGCGTTTCTGACCCCCGCCCCCCGGCTCCTCTTAAACTTGTCGAGCTGTGTTCTATTTCGAATTATATTGATGCCCTGGGTAATGCTACATGAAGTCACGTTGTTACGACATTTGACCCACAGCTTGGCATGACGCGTCTTCAGCGAACACACTTCAGGAACCTTCGTGAGAGTGAGACGGGTGTAATGCGGCTTGGGTGTCGATGGCGCAGTGCCCATAACCGTGTCTGCCGTGGGAGGCCACCTTGTGAACCGTGTGATCCGTACATCAGGGTGCACCCGAAGCGTTGGAAGTTCCGGGAATGCTGCTCTTTTCTCTGCGCGTGCTGTGGCGAGCGTAGCTCAGCGGCCCTTAAACCGCGTATTGGCATCACTGCGCCTGTGGATCCTCTTCGCCGGTGCTGATGTCTGCTGTATCTGTGCTATAGCTCGCTTGAATCCTTCTGAGAACCGTCTGCAAGTGAGAGCGGTCTCCCTATCCACAGACCGCAAACGCCTGATCTGTGCTGTAGCTCCCTTGAGTCCTGCTGAGAATGGTCTGCAAGTGAGAGCGGTCTCCCTGTCCACAGACCTCAAACGCGAGGCGACCATCTGTCACATGCTGAAGCACCCGCACATCGTTGAGCTGTTGGAGACCTACTCGTCCGAGGGCATGCTCTACATGGTGTTCGAGTAGTGAGTAGACCGCGGCTCTGCGACGGAGTCAAACCTTTGGTTTGGGTGTTGTTACGTGTAGGATATGGGGTTCATTCCCTTGAACTTGACTCGCCCGTCTCACACGAAGTTTGAGTAGTGAGCAGATGCTGGATGTGAGGAATAGCCAAGCCTTTGGGGCCGTGGGGGGGGGGGGGGGGAGGGCATGACATGGGATGCAAGATACGTCATGAACGAGGTATGCCTAGTGTTGCGTGGTGTTTGAGTTGCTTCTCTACCTCTTCGACGAGGTGTGTTAGGCTTTTACCGATTTGAAGCACGTTTACACTATGCGTGAACGGGTAAAACGTTATATTCTTTTTATGCGGAGCGCATTTCTGCCGTCACAAGGCAAAAAGCAGTAACTCGATTTTTATCGATTTTCGTTTTTGGTATAATTTCGAAGCTTTTGCGAATACGCTTCTGATGGTAGTGAGCATATACTTATATGTAGCATATACTTGCATATTCTTGTATATACATACATTATACAGATACAGATTTCATACATACACATACATACATACACATACAGATTTCAGCCGGACAAAAAGCCTGCTGCTTTTTGCCTGCTGCACAGGGCACATATGGCTTTCTGTTCACTGTGCGTTGGCCCGCAAGAGAAGTCTTCCGGCAGGCAAAAAACCGCATCCGAACAAAATGGAACATACGGCTTTTTGCCGGCCAAAAGCGCTATCGATACCAATGCGTTTTCCGCCGCAAAAAAACACGTATTCTCAGAAGTAATACTAAGGCTACGGGGCGATTGCGCGTGCTGCCGGTTGCACGTGAATAATTACAGAGGCGCAACCAGGTATAGGGGGGGGGGGAGGCAATGGGCCCAAGTTGGGATCCCCGAGGCCTGGATGTTTCTGTCAGTAACGAAGATGGTTCCTCACCCAGGGTTAACATTATCGTGATGATTATCGCTGAACATCGCCTCACCCCCGCGCCGCAAAAATACTGGCTACGCCTCTGCTCCATCACATGAACTATCCACTTGTCGTTCCTAAACCTGACGTGCAGCCAGACTCGGCTAGCCTGCGTACGACGGAACAACTTGGCTACTAGGTGTCTGATTGATTTTTAACCAGAATTTAAACATTTCAATTTGACCCAGTTTGGCCTACGTGAACCAACCATGGACGAAAAGAAGAGGAAAAAATGACGAGTGGTTGGAGTAGATTGGGATGACACATTTTCCGGGGAATGGCACTATGTTGCTATTTCTGATCTGCGACTAATGCCTGGGTCAACGCTGGAGGCTGGAGGCAGAGTGCGACTGAGGCACAACGGCAAATACTGGACCGGGACGATTGCAGCAAAGAAGAAGCGTCGTCCGACATTCGGTAAGTCATGGCCAAAACTATTCCCCCAACAAACATTCTGTCTGGTATTCGCCCATCAGTCTTTCCATGCTGACGATACATTCGCATTCGCACGAAGCCTGTCTGCCAGGGGCAGCGGAATTCCTCCCAAGCCAGGGGTGGGGGGCGATAGTCATTCATAGCCACTTTTTCAGTAAATGCCTGCACGACCAATGATACATTTTCAGAAGGTTGGGGGCTCAGTCCTCGTCCTCATTGCCCCCTCCCCCTCATGTCTTGCGCTTTCGCTATATGCATAAGTTCTTCAGTCTTCAACTTGCCCTGGCTTTCGGTAAGCAGCTCTTGCACATGGCTGTGATATGGTTACTTGGAAAAATACGCGATGCGGAACGCAGCGTTTGGTGTTTCCAACATTTTCTGGAGGAAATGTCATCTGCATCCAGTTCAATGCATCTGCGTTTATAGTAATAACCCAATTCGTTTTGTCAGTGTAAACCCGCTTGCTTAACATATTCCTAGGTAGTTTATTTCGTTTCACATCCATAATGAACTAACTACGAGTAGCATTTCGTATATATAGAGTATTATTACTTTTGCAGAGCATTGCCGCCTACCTTTAGCGTGTCCATTTGCGGAGAGGCCAATGTGCACATAAATCGAATCATGTATGAGATACAATAGATTTTGTGACAGCCAATAAGGGGGAACTAGAACCCACGACATCTTAGTTAGGCTGGTTCGTATTAAACTATGCGATTCTTGAACATGCTTCAAGTCGCACGTGTTGCTCTACGTATTTTGGTCGTGCTATGGCATGAATGGATTGTTGCGCAGCTGTGAAAACTGGCATAAATTTTCTCACATCCGAGGTTTGGTGTTTGCGGACAGTTCTTGAAAAGTTTGCACACCACTGTTCCGTGGTGTTTGTCTATGTCCGTTCACCCCGACCGGCCAGCTGTTCCCAACCTCTCGTGTTCACTTATTGGTTGAGATGAACCAGCATCCAGCCAACCAGCCTTGACCATCCGGTGTTTTCGTATTTCAGATATTCCTGATGCGAAAACGCAGCTCGTCCTAACCTGCATGCCTGCCGGGGCCTCTCCAACGGGCACTGCTGCCAGTCTGTCAGCCACCGTGGCCACCCTGCCGGCTTCTATAGCCCCACTATCGCGTACCGGAGCCAGCAATCCGCCAGGTACTAGCGTGACCCCGCTATCGGTTGCCAACGCCGCCACTCTGCCAGTTACCGCCGTCACTCTGCCGGATACCGCCGCCACTCTGCCAGTTACCGCCGCCGCCACCCTGCCGGATACCACCGCCACTCTGCCAGTTACCGCCGCCGTCACCCTGCCGGATACCGCCGCCACTCTGCCGGATACCATCTCCACCTTGCCGGATACCGCCGCCACTCTGCCAGTTACCGCCGCCGTCACCCTGCCGGATACCGCCGCCACTCTGCCGGATACCGCCTCCACCTTGCCGGCTACCGCCGCCACTCTGCCAGTTACCGCCGCTGCCACCCTGCCGGATACCGCCGCCACTCTGCCGGATACCACCGCCACTCTGCCAGGTACCGCCGTCTCCACCCTGCCGGATACCACCGCCACTCTGCCGGATGCCACCGCCACTCTGCCAGGTACCGCCGTCTCCACCCTGCCGGATACCGACGCCACTCTGCCAGGTACCGCCGCCACCCTGCCGGATACCACCGCCACTCTGCCAGTTACCGCCGCCTCCACCCTGCCGGATACCGCCGCCACTCTGCCAGGTACCACCGCCGCCACCCCGCTGGGTACTGCCGCCGCCACTCTAGCGGTCGCCGGGGCTACTCTGCCAGCAACTGATACAGTGACTGCGCGGGGCTCTGGAATGTGCACCACGTCAGACATCCCCAATGGTTCGGGTGAGCTGTCCTGGTTTACTCGTATCATGTCAGTATTGTTTGGCAGTAATAATTCGGTCGATTGTTCTGCCATAAACAACACCAGTGACAGCCAGAGCGCTCTTATCTCTGCGTCAAGCACACATCATAACGAAGCTCCCCAATGCTGTCCTGCCATCACTTCCAGTCCACATGTGTCATTGCGCTCAGAACTAATCCATACCGAACAGGACACTAGCCTCCTAGACATACAAGCCACGGACACTTACTTCCTGGACCTGCAACCCCAAGACGGTGGCGTCTCAGACCTAGCCCCGCACGCTGGCCTCCCGGACCTGCAAGCCCCCGACTTTGGCCTAGACCCGCAAGACCGGGATGCTGGCCATACAAAAGTTAAAAAAATACAACGGACACGAACTTTTTCGAACAAAATTGAGGGCTTCAAAACCAAGCATCTGCTCCCGTCAGCGCCAGTGGGCTGCAAAGAGGGTACCTGTCAGCTGGAGTGTGGTCGGGGAGTTCGGGAAAATGTGGGAGAAAGTATTAATACCGCAGTAAACTCACTGTCGTGGTCGGCTAGACGTGAGTGGTACCGTCGCTACGTAACGGATCGGGTCGACGGGTCGAAATCAGGAGATGAGCAAAAAGAAAACAAAAGAAGACGAGTCCTTCGGTGGCATCTCCCTGTTGGCACCGGAGCTATTGCCGTATGCAAATTATTCTTCCTGGCAACTTTCGGCTTTAAGAACGGCAATCACAAGCCAGTCCTCGCCAGCATCACTTCTCAGCCAGCAGCCCCCACTGATCGCAGAGGAAGGAAGGCCCCAAGTAACAGCTTGGACAGCGCAATCATGGAGCATCACATCATGTCATTTAAACCAGTTGCTCCTCATTATAGGTATTTGCATGCTCCGCAGCGGCGGTACTTGCCTCCGGATCTGAATGCAGCCATCCTCTTCAAGCATTTTCAAGAAATGCATGGCACCAACATATGCTTGGAAACACGATATCGTCGAGCCATGGCTGAAATGGACATGGGGTTCACGAAACTGGTAATGAGGGGTGTGCCGAATGCGCGGCACATTCACTGCGTACGTGCAGGGACAACGACGGGACGTGTCTTGACTGTCAAACTCACATCCAGCACATCAAGCACAGAAACGAGGCGCAGAGCGCTTATAAGGAAGACGTAGAGCGAGTGTGGGAAGACAATGAGCTTGTGGTGTCCGCAGATATGATGCGGATCTTCCTTCCGCCACAGTTCCCGTAAAAAGTCGCCATATTCACGCCTCGACTCGTGGTTTACGAGACGTTTACACCGCTCGGCAAACGAAAGCCGAAAGCCGTTTCGATCGTGTGGCATGAGGGTACAGCGGGGCGGGACGCAGCTGACGTATGTTCCGCCTTCGTTCGGTACATCGAGCTGCAGCGAGATGTGGACGCCATCACGATTTGGCTAGATAATTGTTCTGGGCAGAACGAAAATTGGATACTTATTACAGGCCTCACGCAGGCAGTCAACAAGCCTGGTAAAATGCTGAATCAGGTAACGCTCAAGTTCCTCCAAAAGGGCCACACTTCGATGTCGGCGGACGCAGTCCACCAGGTCTGCAACAAGAGCCTGAAGCTTCGTAGAGTGGTGGCAGACATGGAGGACTTTACAACCGTTATCGAAGACTCGTCGAAGGTGATCGAGATGAAGCCTAATGACTTCCTCAACATCACAAGTGGCATGAGTGCCCAGAAGCTGAAGCTCCTAACCGAGGAAAACT